TGTGTGTGTGTGTGTGTGTGTGTGTGTGTGTGTGTGTGTGTGTGTGTGTGTATTAATATGTATATAAATGAAGACTAATGTTGTGCATGTGTACATCGATAGATGCCGCTACCACGGTGGACACGAAATTCCACCCATCCGCACGACCGTGCGAAGGTGAAAAAAACAGCTACGAGTGCGAGCGAGGGGCGCCGTGGTGTGAATAGGGCGAGGCAACGCAGGCTGTTCTTGCACAGGCGCGATAGGCAGAGGGAGAAAATGCATGTGGGGAAACAAACTGTTTGCTTATCCTACCCGTGGGCCGAACAGCAGTGGTGCAGCACACGGCGAACGACATCATGCGCATGCATGCAGACGGCGTATGGACCAGTTTCAGCACATATGTGTTATGGCCCTCGCTGCACTACTCTCCAAATGTGCAAAATGAGAATGAATGTTCTGCTAGAACGTGGAAATATACATTGCCATCGTTTTTTTCTTTTGCGCATGTGGAGAGTAGTGCAGCGAGGCCCTATGCCAGTCAAAAATTAAGGGGGCACATTTTGCGGGGACTACCGACAAGTTGGACGAGGGTCTGACACGGACTGACATTCCCTCATGATGGGAAACACCGAAAAATTTTGTTTTCGGCCTTTCTTCCACTCATTGCCCACGACCCAAAGGTGAGTGAAAGGTGAGTGAAAAGTAACACAAAAAAGATGGGTCTGGTTTTCACTCACGTTCGGGACCCCCAGAGGAACACGGCAAGCAAAACAAAAKAAAGACCACCCAATGGGATGCTCCAAAAAAACACATATTTTCAAGGGCTAAAATACAGAAAAAACAAAACCACCGATCCCCATTCCCATCGACGGCGGAGGCGGGTCACACGCCCGCTACACTACTCCACATACAATGCTAGTGGGATCCCCCTCCTGGTGATACAAAAGTTTGTTCTCCCTTTTCTTCGCGTTTGTGAAGTTCCTTCTGACTTTTGACTTCTTGCTTTTCCAGTTTGATTTTTTTTTTTTTTTTTTTTTTGGACAAGGCTCCAATCTATTCGTGGGGAGCAGCACGGGCCCGGCGTCCCATATGGAAATTTACATCGAATTTTGAAAGTTTGAGATACTGAGGCCATTACCCGGCTTTGACTGAGAGAACTTTGAGAGAATTTAACATGCAGTTTCTGTATCTTTTTCGTTTATGATGTCTCTTTTAATGTCTGACTCGCCTAAAAAGTGAGTGGCATGTTGCGCATTGTTAGCAGATTCGCGGCTCCATTTTGAGTTGCAGTGTGCCTGCTACAACATCATGGTGGATCAGGCTCTCAAGGGTGAGGGTCTTCGTCGACATCGGAGCACAAAGCGCGATTTGTACGACGAAGCAGCCATGAAAGTACGTACATTTTTTTTTTTTTTTTTTTTAAGATCCATGAGG